CTTCATGCACAAACCCCCTCTTGTCACACCCCATCTATGGCAGTGATAGAAGCCAGGGAGGTCAGGTCTGGCACATGGCACTAGCTGGTTGGCAGGCAAGGTGAAGTCGGAAGTGTCTTGTGTTGGATGGATGCTAGGGTTGCATTCCCAGGTATAGTGGCCATCAGGTTCTTCTTCATGAAGCTCAGGGTCAGGGCTGTGCCATCTCACAGGTTCCACACACAGGCTTTCATCTTTACAACCCTTGTTAGGAGGCAGCTAGGAAAAGAAAGGTGTGGGATGTTATTCCTGGAACCTGCCTCACTTGCATAAGGCAGAGAAAGCCTCTGAGAAAATATGTGATGTCAAGTAGGGCATGAACAGGGTTCCTGGAGGTTAGGAGAGAGGGGCAAAAGCAAGTCCCAGGAAAAGTGGCCACAGAGCCGGTGCTGAGCTGGGCAAAAGGACACTATGAACTGATGCCAGAGAGGAGGCCAGGGGCAGGCTCTGTTGGACTTGGGATGCCATGTGAAGGTCTCCAGAGCAGGGGACCATCACTCAAAGACTCTGAGAAGTTGAGGCCAAGGATCTGGTGCAGAGATTGCCGGGTGGTCAACATGGCCCTGTCCTGCTCACAGCAACTTGAGAGGTGAGGAGTTCCTGTGGGGAAAGGGCTTTATATGTTCGTTGACTCACTCCAGAATTCCAGCACCTAACACAAGCTGTGAACCTTTGGCAATTTTTATCTTTTTAAGAGATTTATTCATTTGTTTGAAAGACCAGTTGACAGAGAGCTAGAGAGCTATACATAGAGAGCTGGAGATCTTCCATTTGCTGGTTCATTTCCTAAATCGCCATGTTTGGGCGAGGCTGAAGCCAGGTGCCAGGACCTTCATCTGGGTCTCCACATAGGTGGCAGTAATAGAACCATCTTCTGCTACTTTCTTGGTTGCATCAGAGAGAGTTGGATCAGAAGTCAAGCAGTGGGCCTGGCACAATGGCCTAGCAGCAATAGCCCTTGCTTTGAATGTGCCTGGATCCCATATGGGCACCAGTTCTAATCCCAGTGGCCCTGCTTCCCATCTAGCTCCCTGCTTTCGGCCTGGGAAAGCAGCAGAGGATGGCCCAAAGCCTGCACCTAAGTGGGAGATCTGGAAGAGGCTCTGGGCTCCTGGCTTTGGATTGGCTCAGCTCTGGCCATTGTGGCTGCTTGGGAGTGAATTAACGGATGGTAGATCTGCCTTTCTGTCTCTCCTCTCTGTATATCTAACTTTCCAATAAAAATAAATAAATCTTAAAAAAAAAGTCAAGCAGCAAGAACTCAAACTTGTGCTCCAATTTGGGACACCAGTGTCGCAGGCACCACAGCACCAGCCCCGATGCTGTGCTCCTAAGGCACTGTCAGGGTATTTCCCTCGGGCTTTGCACAGGACTCAGGTTTAACTATTAGCATGGCAAGCTCAGGACAGCAGAGGAGAGGGCCAGGTGGCACTGTCCCTCCTGGCAAGGATTGTGTATTATGTGGGGGCTTTAACCCTCAGCTGCCCCCTCCTTGCACCGAGCACAGTACCCCAGCAGAAGTTCAGGTAGCAGGAGGAGATGGCTGTGTGCTGAGATATTGCCTGTGCACTTGTGGGTAGGGTTGGATTCCCCTGGGATTTGGCTAATGTGAGGTATGTGTTTTTAGCTTTCCATGAAGGGTGTGATTTTGTCGCCAGACAACAAGGTCTCATCTTTTTGTTTCACCTAAAGGGCCTACAAATGCATTTAAAACAGAGCCTATATTCAGACCTTCCCCAAACCTCTTTGAGTTTGGTGTAAATATATGTGGTCAACTATAGCAGCTCCAATGGCTACGTGTGGGCTCATGACTTTGCCATGAATTGTAGTGGGAGTGCCATATCCTCCAGGCATCTGATAGTCTCTGGTGTGCCTAGGCCTCTGACATGCAGGGAGCCAGTTAGGATTGGATTCAGCTCTCATAGTTCTTGTGGTCTATTTTTAAATTATTGAACAGAAGCTCATGGAGTCCAGCAGCCCATTTCCACAGTTGTGTTGCATAGTTGTTAAAGGGATTTTCATGGATATTGGGTTCATGGTCAAAGAAGTTTTCAAAAAATTTATTTGAGCCAGAAGGAGAGGGGGAACAGGGAGAAAAGAAGAGAGAGAGAGAGAAATTTTCCACTGGTACTCCCCAAACATCCACAATGGTAGATCCATGAATTCAAGCCAAGTCTCCCATATGGATGGCAGGAACCCTAATACATGTTTTGCCTCCTGTTACCTCCCAGGTAGAATTTCTGAATTGGTAGAAAGCTAGAAGCAAGAGTAGAGCTGAAAATCAAATCTGAGCACTCTGATGGGAGATAAAGGTGTCTGCTAGTATCTTAACTGCTGGGCCAAACACCTGCCATTCATTTAAATTTGGAAAACGCTTCATTATTTGTACTCTTTCATCTGGTTACTGATTTCTGTGTAACGAACTGCTGCAAAACAGCTAAACCAACAACATATCATTATCTATTATAGCTTCATGAGCTGACTGAGCTCAGCCCATGGTTTTCATTTGGGCTCTCTTAAAACATTAGTGACTTTCATCTCTGTTAACAAAAGTCAGACGATAGCTAGGGCTAGGCGCATGGCAAGGCTTCTATGCTGACATGTCTCTGTGTCTGGGTTGGGCATGTCTCTCTCCACATGGTTTTGCTTCATGTTAACTTGGGCTTCCTCAGTATAGCAGCTTCATGGTTGTTAAGCTTCTTACCTGGTGGCTGATTTACTCCAGGATGAGTATAGCAAGAGGCCTGGGTGGAAACTGCAACACTCCATATACCCTGTTTTGCAAGTCCCTAGTCATCACTTTCACATCACTTGGTTGATCCAGCAAGTTTCTGGGGCCAATCCATCAGGTGGGACAGGAACCGACACTCCCACAACCTCGATGGGATGAGTTAATTAATCTGTGGCTGTCTCTAATTCAATGTACCTCCCGGAGATACACAAAGCATAAGAATGTGTCAAAAGGTGTTTGAGAAATGCTGTACTAAAGAGATCTGTTTAACTTGGCACACTTCCCAAGCTGATTGCTATGACTATTTTTAAGATCAGAATACCCTTTCTTGGGCCTGGCGTGGTAGCCTAGTGACTAAAGTCCTTGCCTTGAACTCTCTAGGATCCCATGTGGGCGCCGGATCATGTCCCAGCTGCGCTGCTTCCCATCCAGCTTCCTGCTTGTGGCATGGGAAAGCAGTTGAGGATGACCTTTGCAAAGCCTTGGGACCCTGCACCCATGTGAGAGATCCATGGGTGAGAGCATTTGTCTCTCCTCCTGTCTCTTCTCTCTGTATATCTGACTTTCCAATAGAAATAAATACATCTTTTAAAAAACAAAATAGGAGAATCAAGATGGCAGAATAGTGTGGGGACACATTTATACAGATGGAGAATCATTAGTCAAGGTGAAGCAGAGCAGACACATTCCAGGAAATAGGAGAGGACAGACTGACAGTAGAGGGGCATCTGGAGACTGATGGACACAGGAAAGCAGTAGACACAACAGGGTGGTATGATCAGACATTCCAGCAGCTTTCAGCCAGTGGCAATCTGAACTGCACCAGCGGCTGGAACTCCACCAGCAACCAGGTCCTAACGGCCAACAGATTCTGGCAAGATGAACACCACCAATGACCTAGCTATGTAGGATACCTGGTGTCTCCCTAATCCTGGGAAAGATGGTTTTGCTTTTAGTTTCATTTCTGCAAAACACCTTTTTCTCATTAAATTCTTCAGTGACTCATAGATCATATAATAGCATCATTTTCTTCAAGAAGGTTCTTGATTTTCTCTTTATTTCTTCAGTAACACATTAGTCATTCAGGAGCATGTTATTTAACTTCATGGCATTGTAAATTTCTTTTTTTTCCTTTTTGTTGTTGATTTTGTTTTGTGTTTTTTCATTTAAGGGATATATAGTAACTGTGAAATGGAGACTATCATATCCAGTGGCATGTTGCTTAACTTCATGGTATTGTAAAGTTCTGTTTTTCTTCCTGTGGTTGATTTTGTTGTGGCTTTTCACTTGGGGGATGTATAATGGCTATTTAGTGGAGACTGACATGTCCAGATGTGAGGATACAATGCAGTGTGCATCTGTACTTCTGGATCGAGGATTGACTCCCAGTGAAACTGTTGGATGTGTCTTGACGATGGGATGCTGGTCTCTGCTGTTGCCCATGCCTGCAGTGATGGACCTGTGATTGTTTATGATTGTTTATGATGGACTATACTGTTGTAATGATAAGGGAGAACTCAGCAATTAGGGAGGGGGTTGGGCAAATCCCAGGGCTGTATCATAAAATGATAATAATAATTTTTAAAATGAAAAATATATATAAAAAGGAAATCAGAATACCCTTTTCATATAGAAAATCACTTAACTCATAGTCTTCCAGAGAGCCAGTGGGCAGATGTGAAAGTGTGATAGAATTGGGGCTCAATGCAAGTATCCGATAATACAACACTTTTCAAAGTAAAAACTTGGTTTCTGGACACACATCCAGATGATGTGACCATCTGCAAGGATGGAAACACCTGATGTCCTAGAGGTTAATGATGTGCTAGAAGTTCACTGTCTTTTGGAGAGGCCTGGGTTCAAATTCAGCCTCCTTCACTTCCAGGTGTGTGACATTGGGCGGTTTGCCACTCCTGGGACTTGGGTTTCCTTGGGTACATGCTAGGTTATTGAACCTAGGACCCCTCTGAGGGTTAATGAGATCCTGCCTATGGATTTCTGGGTGCCACACCTACCAGTGATTCATGGGCCACTGTTGTGTTGATGGTGAATGGAAGACTTCGTCCTTGAGGCTCTGCATCGGCTCAGTCAGCTCCATCTAGAATTTTGTAACTTTGGGTTACTTGGGACTTGTTTCCCCAAGCACCAACAAGTACCACAAGTCATGGACTTTCCTCCACTTTTCCTGCAAAAGTAACCTCTTTATCCTTTCTTTTTTTTCCCATCCTAGTTTCTAATAAGTGATCGTGATCCTCAGTGCAACCTGCACTGCTCCAGGACTCAGCCCAAGCCCGTCTGTGCCTCTGATGGCAGGTCTTACGAGTCCATGTGTGAGTACCAGCGAGCCAAGTGCCGAGACCCAACCCTGGGCATGGTACATCGTGGGAGATGCAAAGGTGAGTGTGCACCTGCAGGGGGCTCCTGGCATCACTGCTCTCTGCAGGCTCTCCATCGGAGAGCTCCAGATGAGTTGGTTCATTTGATTGACTCACTTAGCCTGTCTCTCTGCCCCATCTTCCGGAACGTAAGGGAAGAAGGACCGGCCCTCCTAAGCATGCATGGGGAATATCTGGGCCATGAACCGTGTAAGGTCCATGAAATCATTGGTCCTGGTCCTAAAAGCAACCGCAGGCAGGATTCCAAATTTACTAAATCTATAGCAGGCTTATTTTTAAGTTGATCATTTTGTATGGTCCATAAATGGTGTTATCAGGATCCAAATGGTAGGAAAAAGCTACTCTACCACCTCCAAAAGAATCAGTGCTTTTCTATCTTTCAGACGCTGCCACTGGGCGAGGGCTGGGAGACATGTGCTGCCATCTGTCTTGTGCTCCACTTGCTTGTCTGTTTTCTCAGTGGGGCTGTAAGCATTGCCGCTGGCTTTAGAACAGGGATTTCAAGTTGTTGGACAACAGATGTATTTTGCTGGATCTGTCCACATGTCTGCAAACATGAAAATCATTAAAAAAAATATTTAGAAACTGAGAGATTCAACATGAAAACCTGGCTTGTTCACTTCTCTGCCGAAATCGGAAGTCCTCATGGTATTAGAGGCTGTGTTTCTGCAAAGCTCAACACGGTGGGAGCAGAGGAGTGGCTTCCCTCAGGGGAGCCTGTCTTTCAGTTTGCCCTGGTCTCAACTCTCCCTGAAGTCTCACAGTTGCCTCGCTGGTTTACATCAGCTTCCTGAGTCCTGCGCAGACTCAGAGAGGCTAGAGTTATCCCAGGAAATGTAGGGGGCTTCGCAAGCAGCCCAAGAAGCCTTAATTTTATGGAAAAAGAACTTGCGAGTCTTGTTTGACAAATTGTGTTTCAAATCACCCTGGACTCACTTGTTTTAGATTGAACTCAGTAGAAATCAATGGAAGTAAAACATTTTTATTCTTACACATTCAGGGGGAGGGGAGGCAGAGGTGGGAGTGACTTGGGGGCTTCCCCTCATTCTCTCTCTCTGCAGGGCAAACATTTTGTCTCCAATTGGAGGGCACTGAGAACAGACTCCTCTCTCCGCTTTCATCTTGCAGATGCCGGCCAGAGCAAGTGTCGCCTGGAGCGGGCTCAAGCCCTAGAGCAAGCCAAGAAGCCTCAGGAGGCTGTGTTTGTCCCAGAGTGTGGTGAGGATGGCTCCTTCACCCAGGTGAGGCCTTGGGAGGTTCTCCACTGAGATGGGAGTGGGGAGAGGGTCAGTTGGGGTGTCCTCAGATAGATGGATGGGGAGCAAGAGGCCTATTTGGCACCTTCACTTTCTGGTACAGAGCTGAGTGAGTGACTCCTCAGCTCACTCATGCTCCCCTCCCCCTCCCTGAGCCCTCCACACCACCTCCTGCCAGCTGGCCGGGGCCCTGAGAAGACATGTCCAGGTCCGAGCCAGGAAACTGGCATTGCTTGGTTCCCATCCTCCCAGTTGGCGGTCTCCACCGAGGACCAGACCCGCGTTTTTCTCCACTGTCCAATGTGGGCTGATTGCTTTTTCTTAGCCTTGCCAGTTTCCATGGGCAACCCCAGTATTCCCGTCTCTGTTTATTGCTGGGCCCCTGCATTCCCTGGCTTGGTACCCCCACTCCTTGAATGTGGTGGAGCCCTCTTGGAGCATTGAGTAGACTGGGTTCTTGTGTGTGTGTGGCTGTGTGCATGTATGTGCACTCAGATCTTAAGAGTCTTTTCATGTAGTCTTGCCCTCCTCCAGTGTGGTCTCCTGCTTAGTGCTTTGTGCAAAAGTATTGCATACTATGCTGATATTGGCATGAATTATTTCTGAAACAGGACAGCATTAGGACAACAAAGTGCTCCTTATGGAAATTTCTAGACTGTTCCCCTTTCTATACAAGGGCTTGTGCTTAGGGGGTGAGGCTGTAGCCTAGGGGATTGGATACTTGCGCCAGCTGGATGAAGGTGCTGTCTTGATGGAAGTGGGCAGGGTCATTGAACAAGGTGCGCTTAGCCAGGTGGTTGGTAATGGTCCTTGTTTCAGAACTGTGTGTTGCCCAGTAAAGTGCCACTTGGGAGCTCCCATTATCAGGAGACATTAGTGTCATGAGTTTATATGCTTTTCTGTTGCTTCTGAATGAAGGGGCACAGAGTATAAGCAGCCTTTAGTCCAAGGGCTTCAGGCGCCATTTCTGGGCTGGCCATGGAGTTACTGTTCAGACTGTTGGGGTAAGGGGGGTTGGACAGATAGCAGCAGCATTTTCCACGTCTGCTGGTTTATTCAAATATTCATTTAGGCTGGAGAGACTTGGCTGCCGACTCTGGAAGAGGTGTTTTTGTTTTTGTTTTTTTGTTTTGTTGTTTAAGACTGCCCGTAAGTCAGGACGAGGGAGATGTCATTATCTCCCGAAAAAGCAGCAGCAGAGAGGCATGGAACAGGAGAGCTGGGGTTCCAACCGTGGTCCCTCCCAAGTTCTCCCTACTCTGTTGTTGTTCAAACTAGGAGCCCTGAGGTATGCGCTGCGAGGAGGTGTTGTGGTGCTGTGGTCAGCTTGTGGCTGATGGAGCCCCTCCAGAATCAGTCCCTAGCACCTTTGGCCAGTCTCCGAACTTGTCTGATGTCATGATTTCTTCATCCAGGAAATGGAGATGATTATCCCTATTAGTATTACTTATGTAATACCAATCAGGGTAAGACCTAGTGATTGTGTTATGTGCATTATTACATATTGCTATTAGTGACTTATTGTTACCGTCTGCCTCATAAGGTTGTGATGAGGATTTACTGAGTTACCACATACAAAACGCTTGGGACTCACAGCTACTCCATAGACATTTGTCATTAGCGTTGTCGTTATTCCCAGCTCTGTTGCAGTCCCAGTACTCGCATCTTCCTAGGATTTTATGGATGATGCCACTTAAAGTAAAACAAAAGCCTTTTGTTGAAACTTGGTAGGTTTGCAAGCTAGTGCACTCTCGTTTGTCCTTTATTCGTGATTTATTTCAGCAGAAAGAACATGACTATCTTTGTGTGCATTTAAGATTCCACTGTTGAGCATTTGCATTTGGGGAGGGGGAAGCAAACCTGGCCCAGATTGATTTGACAGCGTAAAGGCGTTGTTGCAGAGCAAGACAAAGTCAACTGGAAGCATTTTTTCCCCTTCTCTGGGCTTGTGTAATCCTGGGTGTGTTGCTTATGAGAACGGTTGACCCTTGCCCCCTGCCCCCCTTCCCCAATTTTAAAGTGTTTGCTGCCTGGTGACAGACAGCTTGCACTGGCCAGCTTTTGTTTGGGTGAGGTCACGCTGGACCAGGTGGTGTTTGCTGCAGGAAAGGAACTTCCAGATTAGTCCATGCTGAATTGCTAAATGAGAGGGCCCCTGAAGTTCAGCAAAGGTTGTATAGACAATCAAGCGCCTCCTTGTTAGTTTGACATGCTAAGCGCTGCCATGTGTCTGCAGGCTCAGAGTCGGCTCACCCTGGTGGGCAGCCAGACAGCCAGACAGCAGGCTCATCGCAGCTACACTGATCGAAATGGATGTGTCTTTCCCCTGATCAAAGGCACAGCCGTAACTTCACAAGATGGGGCTGCCTTTTCGAGTGTGCTTCAGTCACATGGACAGGCTGCCAAATGCCTTCCCCTCCTCCCAGTCCCCACCATCACTTAGCTGAACTTTTTTTTGTTTTCGAGACCCAAACTCAGAGACAAGCTCCATTGCTTTGACATACTTTAGAAGATTGACATGCACACATCCTGTATGTTAATAACATAAAGTATGTTAATAACATACTTTAGCCCTGGGAATTATTATATGGTAACACCCTCTTGAGGTTTATGGAGGTGGTGATGGGATGCTAATGGGATTGGAATTGTCTGGCATGGGGCACAGCTTAAGACCACATGACTGAGTTGGGTTTAATGGGGTTCATGTGGAACTCAACGGCTTCTGTTCTGTTCCTTTGTCTCCACTTGGCCTCATCCCTCCCCACTCCCACACAACAAGGGTGGCTCATCTTCCTTCTACATCATGACACCAAGGGTACACGATAGGTCCTGGGAGATTTTCAGAAGTCTCCATACCTGAGCCATATCCCAGCCCATTCACATATTTTGGGAGTGGGATCTAAGAGGTTGTGTTTTTTTAGAGATCCCCAGGTGACACCAGTGTTTGGCCGAAACTGTGATTCTCTTGGAAGGATGTTGCCATGCTTGTTTCTTAGGTTGCATCATTGGAATGTGGAGTGAAGGCTCTTTGGCGACCTTTTCAGTAAAGCCAGGAGTTACGCCTTTGTCCTTTGGTGTTGTCTTAGATTCTCTTCTAAGTATCAGGTTTATAACTTCTGGCATCTGTTCTACTAAATATTCTGCCAGGCAGTTGTCTGGTGCCCAAACTGATGAACTGAAATCTCAGCTTTGGGGAAAGGTGTTGGATTGCCACAATCAGGAAATGTTGGCTGTTAGCTAGCTTGTCAAATGCATGCATCATTGAATGGTAGTGACGTGACTCTTGATCATCACTACGTGCAAGGCAGAGTTTCACAGTAATTAATCCTCACTGGAACTTTTTGAGGTCGGTATTAGCACCTTCTTTCTGAAGAACTGAGTTTCAGAGGAGCTGAAAATAGCTGATTTGAGGTCACTAAGCTAGAAAGGATTTTTGCCCAAGCCTTTCTAACTTGCAGGCCGGTGCTCTTAACTTCTTTTGTGTGCTACAAAAGCGGTCTTGATGCATATGTATTTCATTTTCATCACCATTGTTATTCCAGAAGTTCCCTCTGATGCTGTTACCCAATCAATCAAACCCACATTAAAAAATTCTTTTGATTATAGAAAATTTTAAAAATACAAAAAGTAGAAATAATAGCATAATGAACTCCATGTACTCATCACTGGGCTTCAACAATGATTGACACGTGACCAATTCTGTTTCATCTTTACCCCATTTTCATCTCCCAGCCCAAATTGGAGTGCTTCAAAGAAAATCCCCAAAGTAATTTTTTCATTCCAAACAGACTTTTTTTTTAGTTCTACTATGTTTGGGTTTTGTGCTGGTTGCTTTTGGCGGATTAAGAAAATGTAGTGACCTCTGCCTTTAAGGTATTCACATGCAGAAGATAGTGAGGCGTATTATAGAATGGCTATATCAAGGACCACATGTGTAAAACGTATTCAAAATTTCATGTGTTGGTTGGTTATTTGGATTCTGATGTTGAGAAAATGGACCTACATTAAAAATTTCAGAAAGGAAACACCTTAAAAGCGAAACCAAAAACAAATGACACACCTTGCCTAAACAAAAAGCTGATCTCATATTAAAAAACTCTTCCAATTCAGAAAGCTGGCAGCAGGCATCACTAGACAATCGTCACAATTATAATGACTAATCAGTGAGAACAAATGTTAAAAAATCCAAACAAAAATGATGATGGATTATTTTCTTATAAATTGGTTAAAACCTTTGGGAAATACAGTGACATGCAAGGTTGGCTGATAGTAAAGGGCTACTCCTTTGTTGTTCTTTGGAAGTATATTGGCACCAGCTTTTTGTAGGATAATTTTACCATCTAAATCAAAGGTTTTTAATTGTGCCTATGGTTTAGGCTTGCAATTCCACATCTAGGAATATATTCTAAGAAAATAATTAAAAACATGTGAAAATACTTAGCTATAAAGATGTCCATATAAGTTCTGTTTGTGGTAGCAAAAATCTAGAAGCAACCTAAATGCTCGGTAATAAAGAGTTGTTTAGAGAAGTTATGACAGAGCTACACTGTGCAAATGTCAAATGCTGTGTAAGACTCCATGTATGTAGTGTGTATGTATATTAGCAACTTAATCAAATAGTTAAAAAGAAAAAATATTTTTCATTTTTTCTAGATAAATAATAGACAAATTATGCATGCTCCATAAAATTTTATGACAATGCAGATGTATGTCAGGCAGAAGGAGAAAACCAATGATTTTCTCTTCTTGAGATAGCAACAGCTTAGTCTGTCATCCTCTGTTTTTTTCTTGTGTATAACTATTAGCATTATTTAGGATAAAAGGGTATTAGATCACAAAGTGTTTTATTACATTTTGTCTAATTTTATTGTGAACTCATTTCCAGATAGATTGTGCATGGTTCTACTTCATTATTGTTGTGTTTAAGACTTACTTATTTTTATTGGAAAGGCAGATTTACAGGGAAAGGAGAGACAAAGATCTTC